GTGCTACAATAGCAGGCATGCACTAAGCTAAGCTCTTTAAGTGAAGACAACAGAATACATCTCTTTGCGATCTCAGCACCTAGCACCATGCCTGACATATAGTATGTGATCGTAGTATGTGAGTCACATACTATGGAAGAGAAGATAATAGAGACTAATGGCCAACTACTACGAAGAGAGGACAGTGTTTTCACAAAGCAGGTTAGGCCCATCTAACTTGGGTCTAACAAGGTGAGTAGGAATTCACAGATCAGAGCTTTAGGCGAAAGCACAAAGAGACAAAGATTGAAAGAGCATGCAGCAGGCAAGTGACATGCTCAGTATGATTATATGAAAGATAACTGCAGGAGATGAGACAGCACATATAGGCGGGGTCACATTATCAGGAGTTTTAGATGTTATTACATAGGCAATAAGGACAGTTACAGAATTTTTGAAGTGCAGCATGAATAGATCTAATTTAGCAATACTGTGCACGAATTTGAGGGGAGTAAAACTGGAAGATCAGTTTAAGGGGTCACTACTATGGTCGAAGCAAGAGATAAAGAGGGAGAATATAATGCACTCATAATTATGATTAGAGATTTATCAGACCCTTTAGAGGCACCGGACCACTTTTTGCAAACTCTGAGTCTACAGAAGAAATCTGGTCGGGTTTACATCAAGTTGGGGCCTTATGTCAGGCTAGTCCGAGCTCATATCTCACTCCCACCAATGGCACAGACCACTTTCCTCACCGATATCAAAAAACCTCAACAGTGATTACCACACCAACTTATCCTCAGAAAAGAGAGTTGTTTTCAGAGTGTCTTCATCTCTTGGAAACTGAAGCATCAAATTAACTCTGCATAGCCTTCTAGTGTCTGCAGAACTCAACGAAGCACAATCTTTCACAGAAAAACCTACCTAGAGTTTCGGAAACCACACTGGCCTGAGCCTAGAGACGGAGGCCTTGTAAATAAGCGTGTATCTTAACTGCTACCGCGCCAGAAGCCTCAGGTTTCTGACAAAATGTTTAAAAGTCGCAAGCACAACTTTATAATAAAACTACCCTTGTTGGCAGCAAAACAGGCGGGCACAGGCCAGGGTGAATCGGCTTTCTAACATGGAGAAGCGGATGGTAGGACAAGACAAGGCAAACTCCGGGTCTTCGATGCGCCACACTGTCCTGTCCCGGCCGCTCCAAGCGCCCTAGACCCCACACTCGTAGGACGGAAAGCCCCTTTCGAGCCGCAGCAGCGCAGGGAACCAGCGGCAGCTACGGCCCAACGGCCGGTACAGGCCTCAACGGCGGGTACAGGCCGCAGCGGCGGCAGCACGAGCGGAGGAACGTCCCCCGCGGGGCCTGCGCGACCACTCCGCGTCTCCTCCCGTCGGCGGCCCCACGCCTCGCTGCAGTAGCCGCCTCTGCCTCGGCCCTCAGAAAAGAGAAAAACCTAAAGAAGTCGTTACCTGGAGTCACTGCAGAGATCACTGGTGGCGCGAGGAAACGAAGCTAAACCGCAGGCGGTCCAGGCGCCCGCCACGGCGACCCGGCCCGACCCCACTGAACTCCTGGCGCGCGTTGATGATGTCACTTCCGCCAGTTCTGCATTGGGCTTCAGCAGGTTGCCAGCGCTCAAGCCGCGGCCATAGGAAGTGTGGGCGCGCAGTCGCTTCCTGTATTTGCCTAGGCGCTTGGATTATGGGAAACCAGAGGCTTAGCTCTTCAGGAGTTCCGGGGCGGGGCGGCCTTGTCACAGTCTTTTCTAATTGGTTCTTTGAGGACGTAGGCGAGATGATGATTTTTAAATACTGATTTTTTTTTTTTTAACCAACCAGCGGTTTGGCAAGTCACCTGACAATTCAGCTGCGGTTTCTATTGTAAAATTGAATAAGGATAATAATAGTGCTTACACCTTAGGGATGTTGGGAGATTGATGAAGTAAATGCATGAGCACTGCCTGGCACGGGGTAGCAAATATTCTGTAGCCTGTTAGCGATGAATGTTGTTAGCTGATCTTCCAGCATGCAGCATGAAAAGAAAAACAAAACAAAAACAAATGGCCTATGTTTATAGATTCATTTATGTCAGTGTTGCTACTGCCATCTTAGGCACTTTCCTCAGACACTCTCTGTAGCTCCTAGTCCGCTTCCTGGTGCTTGACTGGACTCCAGCAAGCCTGCTCTCTCCCTTCTATGGTTCATCTAGCCATAGTCATGTGTTGTGCTGTTTGTTTCCTTCGTATTTTGTACTATCAGTGAGGTTGTGAGCTTCTTAAGGATGAGAAAAATTATATACTTTTTTGCATCCAATGTTTTGCACCGTGTTAACCTACGGAGAGACCTGAATAAGTACTGTGAATTAAAATAAAATCTTAAGGCTTGCCCCCACCTGCTGACTGAATGGACCACCTCCTAAAACTGAGTTGATAGCCATGAGAAGGGAGGTCAGCCATGCCTCATCATGCCCCCCCTCCCTTCTTGTAGATATCCTTTGTAACGCATGAAGAGGCCTAAGGCTGTACGACACAAAACTAAAACATGCCGGCAAGTCATCAATTTACTTAGCAGATCACTTGAGACTGAGTATATGTCCAGTGACTTGTCTCTGATTAACAGCCTTCCTTGACTTAAAACATGCCAAGCCTTTAGACAAAGCTTCATTTCTTTAACCAATTACAGATCAAAGACTCTTTAAACCCACCTATAACCTGTAATGCCCTAGTTCAAGATGTCCTGCCTTTTTGGGCCAAACCAATGTAAGCCTTCCATGTACTGATTTATGACTTTACATGTAATTCCTGCCTCCCCGAAATGTATAAAATCAAACTGTAACCCAACCACAGCGAGTCCACTTGCTCAAGTCTTCTTGGGTGTCGCTGTCTGAGCCATGGTTGCACATATTCGACTCAGAATAAACTCTTTAAGTTATTTTACAGAATTTGGGTTCTTTTCCATTGACATTGTATACCTCTAAGTTATATAGTATGTATTCTTTTTTTTTCCCACCCCCATGTAGTATGTATTCTTTTGCTCAACCTTATGTTTACAAGCCTCATCCATGTTGATGTATCCTCCCTGTGTCTCCTAGCTGGCTGTATTTGGTTAATTGTCTTTGCTGTGACATATCCCATTGTATGACTATACCTCAATTAATGTATCCTTTCTGCTGTTTATGGGCATTTGGCTCATTTCCAGTTTGGGGCCATTAATAACAATGCTCTATGGACATTCTCGTGCATGTCTTCTGGGTAGAGTATAAACCCACGGGTGGAATTGCTGGGTCATAAGGTATGTACATGTTCAACTTTGCCAGATGATGCCAGTTCTTTTTCAAAATGCTGTACCAATTTACACTCCTACCAATAGGGTACTTGAGTTTCTGCTGCTCTATAGTTTTGTCCATTTTTGTTATGGTCAAACTTTAAAATTTTTGTCCGTTAGGAGTGAATATCAGTGTTTTCTTAGGAAAAGAACCCTGTATTATCTCTATAAGCTTTTTTGGAACAGGCATCTGGATAGCGACCGGCCAGGCAGGGGCGCTGACCTCCAGGAGCAACGACGAGTGCGAGATAGAGAGGCCGCGGGGGGGGGGGGAGGAGCCGGAAGTGGCGTCACGTCCGGCCGAGCCGCCATCTCGCCGTGAGACAGCAGGAGCTTCAGCGGCAGTGGCGCGATGCTGTCCTCTGCAGCCACGTTCTCGGGTCCCGGCAGAGACCAGTGGATGGAGCCGCACAGCGCTGCGGGCCCTTTGCAGCTGCGCTTTTCGCCCTACGCTTTCAACGGAGGGTAAAAGCCCTTGGGAGCCGCCGCTTTCGCTTTCCCCTTCCCACCTCTCTGCTTGGGCCTGTGGGTCGCGGCGGGAAAGGCGCTACGCTGTCCCCCACGGGCCTCGGGGCCCTGAGCTGAGTGGGTCCGCGCAAGGCCGGCCTCCGTGCCGTCCTCTCCCGCCTGTGTTCCCCTCGTCATGCGCGCCTGGCTCGGGTTCGCCTGCCGATTGAGATGCAGCCTTGGTTTTTAGGGCGTCACCTTACAGCCCGGTCATTGGGCTCGGTGTGCATGGCCTGCTCCTTGCTGCGGTGACATGGCAGAGTAGAAATTGAAACGTAGCCTCTGCTCTGTGGAAGACCTTTAAAAACGGACTTTGCCTTTTCGTAGGGTCTAAACATGTTATGCCACAGCAGACGAGGGGAGAGGTTTAGCATCTGAAACTTAAGATTATTCGGTCCGTGTTGTTAGATGCATAGTTGTGTCTGTAGCCGAAACGTCTGATCAACCAGCTTGATTATTTTGTTATTTCAAGTAGAAATAAGGTGGGATTGGTTTGCCAGACTTAATTTCATTGATCAGTGCTTTTTTTTAAAAAAAAAATTTTAGGTTAAGCTTAAGAAAAAAAATACTCAGGGACCTTTTAATATATGCATTCTTGCATGGCTTTTTTTTTCTTAATTACTAGCTTTATCTTAAGTAATACTTTTCCTTGGTAGTGCACTGAAGAATTAGGGTTGTAGAAGGATGCTCTGATTAAGACTCTTGACAGTGAAGAGCTATAAATTGAAGTAGTGGTTGTAGTTTACCAGTCAAACTTCGTACGTTAAGACATGCACAGCCGATTTGAACAAACAGATGGTTCTTTAAGAAAACCAAAGATACTTCTTACCAGGTCATTATAAATTTGAAATTTTAATGCAGATTTTTGTAGTATGTTAGAGAATGAAAGACCAGTTGTAGCCTTGGTTCTGTCACTAAAGGACAGTGTGGTCTTCGGGCACCTATCAACATCCTGAACCTAAATTTCCTTATCTTCATAGTTTTGGGAAAGAATCGAGAGACACTTGTATGCCATTGTCTCATTTGATCCTCGTAATAGGTGAATGTTGAATTGAGAGGCCTAAGAGGCTCAGAAGGCTCTTAGGAGTTAAACTGTTCTGGTCACAAAGCTGGTATGCAGTTGAGCCAGGCCTTTGATTCATAGCTGTCTCTCCACTGAGTCTATGTGCTTTTCCATTACAGTTCTTAACACTTCCTGTACTAATTAAGTAGTTACAATGTGAGGTGGGTTATTAGACCCATTTCATAAGACAATTCCTAATAATAAGAATTTTTAAGTTGTTCAGTATTAAGTCCTCATTACTCACTTTTTAAGCCCTTCCAATCCAGTTTAAGCCATTACTGCCCTAAAAGTTACTTACAACTTTCTGATCATTTAATCAAGTCACCTTTTTTCAATCTTTGTTCTTTTTCTTATGTATTTATTATAGCCGGCTCTTGGGCAGCCTTTGTTTCCACAAAATGAGGCTTAGTTCTCTTCCTTTTTCTCCTCTAATTTTTAAAATGTGGTTAAACACCAAGTAAACACCTCCATGTTTATCACTCTGCACTCTCACCTGTCTTATCCCTGGGAGGATAATTCCCAAATCCGTTTCCCCAGGTCTACCTCTCATGAGTCCCTCAATTCTAGCTGCTTCAGTAAAACATGTTCACCTGGATTTTCTGCTCTCACTGTTACTCAAGATAGTAAACAAAACAAAAAGCAAGCTAATTATTCCTCTCAGTCTATCTGCTTCTTTAAAATACCCCTTATAATTATGCCATCATTCTACTCACCCAAGTTTATAATCTTCAGTGTCATAATTGGTTTTCCCAGTTCCTAACACATTTGAATAGCTGCAAAACCATGTCCATTTTGTGTGTATGTGATGATTTTTGGATTTACCTGTTTCTTCCTGTTCACCCTGCTCCTTACTATGGCGTTAGTCTTGTTGGGACAGTGTTTCCATCCCATTTCACATTATGTCATTGTCAGGGTAGGCTTTTTTTTGGTGAGGTGGGTGGCGGGTAGAGTGCCGGGGCATCATCATAGCTCACTACAACCTCAAACTCCTGGGCTCAAGCGATCCTTCTGCCTCAGCCTCCTGAGTAGCAGGTACTTATTACAGGCACTCACCACTGCACCTGGCTAATTTTTCTGTTTTTGGTGGAAATGGGGCCTCAATCTTGTTAGGCTGGTCTTGAACTCCTGACCTCAAGCAATCCTCCTGCCTCAGCTTCCCAGAGTGCTAAGAATACAGGCATGAGCCACCACACCCAGCCCAAAGTAGACTTCTTAAAACCTTACTTTGCAACTGGAACTCTTCTCATTGCTCAGATAACCTTCATGGTTCCTTGCTAAAATTCCAAAATCTTTATCTTGGCATTTGGGATCTTCTACAGCACAAGTCCTGTACATCACATAAGCCTATGTCCCTCCACTTCTTTACACAAAAAGGGCTACCTGAGTAAGTTGCTTAAATGTACTATTTGAATTATTACCTGTTTCCCTTTGCTCTCTGTTCCTTTACCTGGAATGTCACCCTTTTCTGCTTCAGAGCGTTAGCACAAATCCCACCTCACTAAAAGTAGTAGCTAAAGTTTTCTGAGTGCTTAGGTTCTGTGAGGCACTGTGCTTGGTGCTTTATGTGAATTATGTCATTTAATTCCCACAATCACCTATAACATAGGCACTGCTGTTATCATCACCTTGAACTTGGAGAATTTGTCCAAGGTCACACAGCTATTAAATGTCAAAAGTCAGGGCC